TTTATTATTAAATTTATACCCCGCCCTTCCCCGTAGGGCTCAGGGCGGCTAACAAGGCAAGAAAAAGCTTGCTAATAAAACATCAATACTCTAATACAGTTAAAAACAACATATACAATTTAAAACCAATAAAACAATTAAAGTGCTCAATAACCACAATCATTCCAGAATCTCAAAAACCCAGAGAGGGCGACCACAACCCTAACACAACCCAAACATTCCCAGTAGGCATTGATAATAGATATTCATTAGCATCTTAGATTATTTTCATATATTTCTAATATTCTGTATTCACAGGGCTATTTTTGGGCAGGAACGCACAGGAACGGAGTTCGGGCTGGCTCCTAAATTGGCCACACCCAGCAGGAACTCATTAGCATAATAGGCCACACCCAACAGCAGGAACTCATTAGGATTGGCTACATTAGGGGTGTGTGGCCTAACATGCAAAGGAGTTCCTGCAATAAAAAAAGCCCTGGGTTTTGACAACAAACAAGGTAAACAGAATAAGAAGCAAAAGGTGGGTGTGGCTGGATGACCACACTTCTGGTAACACGGGCATGCTGCCTAATATGCTAATGAGCTGTGCTGCCATGGGTGTGGCCTAATATGCTAATGAGTTCCTGCTGTTGGGTATGGCCTATTATGCTAATGAGTTCCTGCTGGGCTTTTTCTACAAAAAAGCCCTGTGTATTCATCACACTTGTATCCCATCCTTTTTTCAAAGAACTCAAGAGTGGTGTACATGGATGGGCTGACTGCATTTTCTCCTCGAAACAATTCTGTGAGGTAGATTAAAGCTGAGGCACAGTGGCTGGCTCAAGGTCATATGCAGTGCAGTCTTAAAGCATGTATACTGAGAAGTAAATCTCACTGAGTTTAATGGGGCTTACTCCCTAGTCAGTGTGCTTCAGATTGCGGCCTCAGTGACTTTCATGGCACCTTATACCACAGGGAATACCTTCAGTGCAACCTTTCTTGGGATTTTTTAAATCTCAGAAGCAGAGACCATTTCGGAGGGGATCGCGGGGGATCGCAGTTCCACCGGGCAGGGGGCGGGGCACATGATGAAGCCCCGCCCCCTGCTTCTGGCCACCCCGCTTCCGGCCCTCATTCAGCCAGGAGGAGGCAGGAGAAGAGGGAGGGTAAGTTGCTCCCCCCCCGCCTCTCCCCACCCCTGCCTGCCTGGGGCCAGGGAGGGCCTTGGCGGGGCTTCCTTGCACTCCCGCCGGCCTTGCGGGTCCACCGCCGGGCCCCTCATGGGGCTCGGCAGTGGAGCTGCAAGGCCGGCGGCGGCAGCCGGGACCGTTGGGGGGGGGGTGTGTGGCCTTATGACACACTTCTGGTGATGTCAGGGGGTGTGGCATATGCTAATGAGTTATGCTAATGAGTTCACCTAGCTTTTTTTCTACGAAACGACCCCTGCTCAGAAGTGTAGTCTTATATTTTTTGTATGACAGGAAAAGTAGGGAGATAAATGCAGACAGTACGAAGCCTAACGTTTGTTTCACGTTTCAGTGGGAGAGAGCCAGGAATGTGCTGAACTCTCCCACTGAAACAAATGGTATTAAACGTGCTTAATTTCCTCTGTATTGCATTCTTAGCACATGGTATTTCTAGTTTGCTTAGATTTAGCAGAACGGGAAATTATATTATCCTGAATAAAGCCCTCACCTGGCTAGCCTGATCTCATCAGATCTTGGAAACCAATCGGGATCATTCCTGGTCAATATTTGGATGGGAGGCCGCCAATGTTCCCTCTAAGCTGTGGAGTCTTGTGAGCAAAAATTCTGCTTTCTGAGCTACTGACTTTAAAGCTGTGAGCGAGCGATTTGGCTACTGTATAAATTAGTTTGCTCTGGAGGAGCCCTCCCTTCCTGAGCTAAGACAAAAATGTATGAGCTGGAGGCTTAAAAACTGTGAGCTAGCTCACACTAACTCAGCTTAGAGGGAACACTGGAGGCCGCCAAGGAATACCAGAGGCAGGCAATGACAAACCATCTCTGAATGCCTCTTGTTTTGAAAACTCTGTGGGGTTGCCATAAACCATCATAAATTATGCAACTTGACAGGGGGGGGGGGGAAGACCTAGAAGAAATCTAGTCTGACTCCACTTGGGCAGGGGCAAAAAAATATACATGTACATGTATATGTATATACACACACACTTTTTTGAGGGAAAGTAAAATACTGTATTGTAAAATTGGTGGATTGTCCTACTGTTAAGATGATACAGAATTCAACTATAAATATAATGAGTGAAAAGTTTTCCCCACCTTTATAAGGAGCTGCGGTGGCTCAAGTGGTTAAGACGCTGAACTGCAGGCTGTGGAAGGTCGGTAGTTCAGCAGTTCGAGACCCGAGTGTACTTTTTATAAGGACTTGATTTTTTCTTTCTTTCCACCTGGTGTTTTACTGCAATGATCTTTCATTGAATTCTGTGAAACTTTGAGGGAATGGTCTTCCCCATTTCCCTGGTGTCCCATTATTATTATTTTTTTTAAGTTCCCTGGGTATGCATTTCTGAGCATCTCAGATCTCAGGAAAAGTACACCTACAACATCTAAACAAAACACAGAAACCTCTTCAAAATAGTACATTCTTTTAATTTTTTTAAGGAAATTAAGAAAATGCTTTTTCCACATGAAGAGAAGGGGCTTTAAAGGTAAAGGTAAAGGTTCCCTTGCTCGAAAGCCAGTCAAGTCCGACTCTAGGGTTGCGGTGCTCATCTCCGTTTCAAAGCCGAAGAGCCGGCACTGTCCGAAGACGTTTCCGTGGTCATGTGGCCGGCATGACTAAACACCAAGGTGCACGGAACGCTGTTACCTTCCCACCGAAGTGGTACCTATTTATCGACTTGCAATTTCTTGCTTTCGAACTGCTAGGTTGGCAGGAGCTGGAACTAGAGACGGGAGCTCACTCCGTCATGCGGCACACTCGGGTCTCGAACTGCTGAACTACTGACCTTCCACAGCCTGCAGTTTAGCGTCTTAACCATTTGAGCCACCGCAGCTCCTATAAAGGGGCTTCAGTCTTCTCCATTTGCTGTTTTCCCACCCTGATAAGTGTGGGGAAAACATAGAAGTAGTTATCAGTACATGTAAGTGGTTCTCTGGAGCTGTGTAAGGTTAGAAAACCAGCAGAGATGGAGGGAGAAAGGCTGAAGCCCCTCCTTCTCTCATGCCAGGGTTCTAATCTGAATTTGGTCCATTTGTACCTGGAAATTCAATTCCCAGCAAGCAATTACCAGGCACATGGAGACATGTTCTTTGTACAGACTTTGTAGTGTGTGAATCAGTCCTACTTGTAAAACCTGTTTTCCAGTCTTTAAAAAATTAAAATAACAGATGCAATTATGGCCTGGATTGCATTGCTTCCTCTCCATCTGACTTTTCCCCTTTCTGTTTCTGTGTCCTGTGCACTGTCTTTTTTTATCTGTTAACTCAGTCCAACAGCATTCCTGGACCTCCTTTTCCGCAGAGCAGCCATCTTCCAGTTGTCCTCCTTCTCCAGGTAACACCTGCATTTCATTGCTTCATTTCCATTAAACCTTCAGGTGCAGAGACTGGACCTCATTCTGTTGTGATTTATGGGCGAAGGGGTTATATGTGTGTGTTTGAAAAGTTGTCTGAAAACAATGTATTTAAAAGTTATCCCACAAGTGTGCTAATTCATCAAAACCAGCAGAAAATTGTCATTTACTTTTCGGCCTGTTGTTGTTGCTTTTATTGTTTATGTTTTAAGGGCTACAGTTCAGTAAAACGTATACCATTATTTCACATCGGGGCTGAGACTGAGCAGTTAAAATATGTGCTTAGATTTTGAAGAAGAGCTCTCTCCCAGTTTATAAGCTACTATGTAATATCAGCTAAAGCAGCACAACAAGATGTTTTTTTAAATAATTAAACTGAATCAGTATTTTCTGAGTCACTGACAATTCACGATAAATGTTTTTTCTTCCTCATACCAAAAATAAATAAATCATGTAGCAGAAACTCCTTTGCATATTAGGCGACACACCCCTAATGTAGCCTAGGGCTGCCAAGTGGGGGCGGGGGGTGGGTAAACCCCCGCTTTGGAGGCCCGATTTCTGCCGCTGCGGAATCGGGCCCCGGGGGGAACTCCGCCCCCCGAAGCGCAGCGTGGCTGCGTCACCAGAGGTGACGCAATCACATTGATCATGTTGGGGGTGTGGCCCTGATTGTCGGAGGGAAAACTCTATGGTTTTCCCTCCGATGATTGGGGCCACCCCCCCAACGTGATCGACGTCGCGCGTCACTTCTGGGACGCGCACGTGCATCGGAGGAGAGCTCCCGGAACCCGGATACGCTCCCCTGCCAGTAAGAAAATTCGACTTGGCAACCCTAATGTAGCCAATCCTCCAAGAGTTTACAGTAACCCCTCTAAGAAGAGCTCTGTAAGCTCTTGAGGGATTGGCTACATTAGGGGTGTGCTGCCTAATATGCAAAGGAGTTCCTGCTACAAAAAGAGCCCTGTAATCACACAATAGCACAAAAATGGCTGCCTTCCTTGCAGCAAGACATTCCCCTGCACCTAGATCCCATGCCAAATATGGTGAAAGAACCATGAAAACAAAAATAAGTTGGGTTGAGCTGCACTTTGCAGAAATGTGCAGATAACTCTGACTTTGAAGTGCTTCTTTTATCTATCATGTCCATCAAGGGCTGCCAAGTCCCCCCGGGGGATGGGGAAACCTCCGCCCCAGAGGCCCGTTCCCCGCCGGCGGCGGATTGGGCCCCAGGGGGAACCCCACCCTGACGTACGCGTCACCAGGAAGTGACATTAGGACGCCGAGCATGCTGGGGGTGGGGCCACGACCATCGGAGGGAAAACTCTATGGTCCCCCGCTGCGGCGACTGCAACGACTTGGCAACCCTATGTCCATCCCTCTCTATCTTACTTGCATTTCTTCTCGAATATTATACATAGTACAAATATGAAGGTATAAGGTAGAACTGTCATGAAATTTTGATTAGCATACCATTGACCTTACTAAAGAGAGTTGCTGTGATAGGAAGGCTGGGGAAGAGGGGTTAAACTACTCTCCCCCAGATGACGATGTCTCCTGTCCTGAATTGTTGTTAGTACTGATAGGAAAAAAAAGAAAGCAGCCCAGGCGTGGTTGATTTTCTTGCAGGAAATTATCATGGGGAAAAGGGTACTCCCCCATCAGCCTGGCCTCAATTGAAACCAACTAATTTCTTCTTCTTTTTGCCTGCTTCTAAAGAAAATTGAAAACGTCTGGTGATCTGATCACAGATCTCAAGTGGCTCCTTCCTTCAGAAGTACATTGAATTGTCCAAATGTAGCACGCTATCGGCATATTTGACATGAGTAGGGTTGTAGAGATCTGTAGCTGAATGCACTGTTTTGTTAGGGCATTCTTCCCAAGTTTCTTTGATCTTATTGGCTATATAAAATGCAGTGTGTTTAGATAGGCACATTATTGTTGCTGTTTTCTTAATATTTTTAGTACACGCGGAGCTAAGTCCCTAAAATACCATTTAACGTATACAGAGTAAATTTCAGTAGACAGTAAGGAATGGACATTTATAGTTGCAGAGGGGGAAAAACTCAGTAGCCTTTTCCTTCTGTGCTTCTGTTGTTGTGGTCTGACATTTGGCTCTACCTTTTAATGGGTTTCCTTCAGTTATCCACTCAAATATTATAAATGCTTTAAAGCTTTTATGTAGCCTTAATATATATATATATAAGAAATACACAGCAATTTAACTTTTACCTTCCTGTTTCTTTTCTAGTGAAAAAAAACTCTCCATTTTTAGATGCAAACACTGGATCATTCATTAGGACCAACAGTTTTGCTGATGAACTTGACCTGGAGGGTGAGACGTTGCTGACCCCAATAACTCACATCTCACAGTAAGTCACAGGCTTCTGAACTATGTTGTCATTAATGTCAGACACGTCCGATGAGTACATGCTAGTAATCAGGGTAGTTATCTGTGTTAAATTATTTCAGATAGAATCTGCATATACCATCTTGAAGTCCATTAAACAGTATAGCCTTTCTGCTTGGGAAACGTAATTTTTAAGTAGCATACAGCACTGTTCTTGGGGAATAACTGCATCTTCAGTAGCAGGCCCTTGACTGATTACTGCAGATTCACTTCTGCCAAATGTTGCAGACAGCCTAAAAAACAGGGACATCATTTTTGACATCAAGTCGTATCAAGTTGTTCCTGATATGTTAATGTCCCACTTAAACACGTAAGGGAGGTGTGGATACAAAGCAATTCCTTTTAAAGCAACAATGACGGTATGGAGAAACCCTACACCAGTGTTTTTGTCACTCACGTGCAGCAATACTGAGATTACACCCATTTGTTACGCACAAGGATATTGGGAATTATTGAAAGTCACGTAGTCAAATGTGCACTCGGAACCCATGGACTAGACTATTGCAGTGCACCCTACATAGCCCCCCCCCCCCAAGTCAACTTGGAGACTCCAGATGGTGCAGCATACTGCTGCTCAGTTATTAGCAAGAGCCAGGCGGAGTGCGCATATTAATCCTGTTTTGCAGTCACTCCACTGGGTGCCCTTCATTTACCAGACTCAATGAAAGGTATCGGCCATCACACACAAAGCCGTCCATATAGCCTGGGTCTGTCATATCTGTGGGGCTTTCTCTCCCCCTGTGTCCCGCCATGAAAGCTTCACTCATCTGAGCATGGCCTTCTGTAAGGGCCACCTTGCAATTGGGTGAAATCAAGAACTGCCCATGCGCACGTGTTCTCTGTTTTGTCTCCTACCTTGTGGAATGGACTGCCCGATGAGAGGCTCCCATACTCCTGGCTTTCAGCAGACAAGGCAAAAATGAATTATTCAGGAGGGCACGGGTAACAGGGATGTACTGTAATTAACTTTTCAGGAAAAAAAATTTTTTGGTAAAGAGGTAGGAACTACGGTCTGTACTACGGTGTCTTTTACATCCGGTCTGTTGCTGCAAGTATGATTCTTCTGTGCAGCTCTTGCATCATTTAACGTTTCGTGTCACTGCTCGTGCTTTGTCTCGACTTGGTTTCGGCTCTGTTTTCAGATTTTCGGCTCGCTTTCGGATGTATGCGGTCCAAAACCCTATTGTATTGTTCGTTGGCTGTCCCATTCCTGTTCATTTAAATTGTCTGTCACAAGTGAGTCTCAGTGAGAAAGGTGGACTATGAATGATGTAAATAAATACAAAAGATGTAGTCTACTAATGCAGATGTCATCTAGGACAATCAAGTGAAGCTCCTGTTATAGGGTTGCCAACCCCCCCCCCGGTTTGGCAGGGGTCCCCTGCTTGGGGGTTCTACTTGCTTGGGGCAGGGGTCCCCTGCTTGGGGGTTCTATTTGCTGCTGGCCAGCTGGCCGATGGGGGATGCCCCGCCCCCAAGCCCCAACACCCGCAGCCACCCCTCTCCCTTCTCCCTGCACTTAAAGGGGCTCTAAGTGCAGGGAGCTGGTGTTTCCCCACATGCCCATCGGGTGGGGGGCAGGGGGGCGGATGTCCCCAACGTGACATCATCACATCGAGGATGCCCCTCCTCCTCCGGGCACGCCCCTCAAAGTCCCCCGCTGGGGGCTAAAATGGACTTGGCAACCCTATCCTGTTACCATCATGTTTCCATCCTATATGCGGACAAGTGATGTGTTGTTTTTTAACTGCACTGCAGCGTGGGAGACCAAATTAGCAGGGGTGACTTCATATGCAAAACACCCCTCCCCACTGATTGAGGAGAAGGCAGTTTCTTTTGATAACCCATCCTCACTGCAGTCCCCCATGCTGTGGTGAGTTATTTATTTTTTTTGCCATCAAGTCAAGATGGCGACCTCTAGTGAGGCTTGAAGGCAACGGGACATTCAGAGGTGGCCTGCCGTCACCTGTCTCAGTGTCACAACCCTGGTATTCCTTGGAGGTTTCCCGTCCAAATACTAGCCAGGGCCAGGCCTGCTTAGCTTCCAAGATCTGACAAGAAGAGGCTTGCCTGGGCTATCCAGGTCAGGGCTCTGTGGTGATTTTTTTTTAAGTACCCATAAGGTACACATTTATTATTTTTCATATTATTATTTATTTATTATTTATTTATTACATTCGATTTATATACCACCCTTGACCCCGAGGGGTCTCTGAGCGGTTTACATATATACTAATTAATTCCTACCTAGGGCCACAATTCGTATGGGGGAAGGTACTGCCTACCAGCACCCAAGCGGCATCTTCTTGTTATTTGGGCAGGCTTTCAGATGTATTATACACCAACAAACAAACATACTACATAACAAACATCCACTTACACACATAAAACATACAGAGAGATCAGTATATTTTCTTATAACTCTATTACCATATTTAAAAAATTCCTATAAGTTTGCTTAAGTTTCTGTATACTCTTAACTTTTTACCATAGTTTCTATTTAACTAAAAAAGATTACTAATACCAAAAATGTCATTACTTTAAGCTATGCATTTATATTGTACCAATCATACAGTTTCTTCCACGTCTTTTGAAATGTTGGTTCTTTTGCCCCTCTCATCAACGATGACAGTTGTCATTTTCAGCCGTCTCCAACAGTTTATTCACATATTCTTGCTTCTTTGGTGTTTCCATTTGTTTCCAATATTTTGCATGTAATATTCTTGCTGCAGTAGATAGGTGTACTATCAAATATCTATCACCTTTATCAAACTCCTTTGGAAATATGTTTAGTAATAATATTTCAGGCAAAAATGGTATCTTAGTTCTCAATATCTCTTGCATCATCTTGTGGACCCATCTCCAATATCTCTTTGTTACATCACAAAGCCACCACATATGATAAAATGTACCTGTCTTGTTTTTGCATTTCCAACATTTATCTGAACAATTTTCATTCTGCTTAGCCAGCTTATCTGGTGTAATATACCATCTATAAAACATCTTATACATATTTTCTTTATATGATACTGCCTTAGTCATGTTGGAGATTTTTGTTTATGAGGAATCCCTAGCCCTCAGTAGAGGATTTCTGGGGTATACAATGGAGGGCAAGGTAAGAAAGAGCTGCTCTTCCAACTCTTTCTGTGAACTTTTCCACAGAATCCAGTCTATAGAGTGTAAAAAGGTAAAGGTTTCCCTTGCTCGAAAGTCAGTCGAATCCGACTCTAGGGTTGCGGTGCTCATCTCCATTTCAAAGCCGAAGAGCCGGCGCTGTCCGAAGACGTTTCCGTGGTCATGTGGCCGGCATGACTAAACACCAAGGCACACGGAACGCTGTTACCTTCCTACCAAAGTGGTACCTATTTATCTACTTGCAGTTTCTTGCTTTCGAACTGTTAGGTTGGCAGGAGCTGGAACTAGAGACGGGAGCTCACTCTGTCATGCGGCACACTCGGGTCTCGAACTGCTGAACTACTGACCTTCCACAGCCTGCAGTTCAGCGTCTTAACCACTTGAGCCATCACAGCTCCATCTATAGAGTGTACAGATAGAAATGCACACTCAGCACCAATTACAGAGTTTGTAATATAATAAAAACAAAAGTGGTTTGTGGTCAGAAATTGCTGCATGAAGAAAGTCTTAAGTTGTCATAATTGAGAATGATGATTTATTTCCCAAGGGACTCCACATGCAAATTCTTTTTTATGCGCTTGTAAATTTGGCTGCAAACGTTTCTCTCTCTCTCCCCCCCCCCTTTATGCAGTCCGCTTTGCTAGAATTATGAAAACCTCTGGCATTCCAAAGTTAATAGACATCGTTGGTGTAGAATGTTTCGTGCAAGTATTCTGATGTGCTCTGTGGTATATATCAAAAATATCTAGCCAAGCTCTGTAAACCAATTAACATGTAGACGTCTCAAATGTAGCTTCGGTTCAGACCATAAAAACGATCCATGCTCTATAAGAGACGCATCAGCATGAAGAGTATTTTATAGCCCAGCTGCATAATACGGTAACTCTTCGCCGGAGAATGAAGGGGCTTGGAATCAATAAGAATAATGTGCTGTTGAATCTTGGACTGCAGCGCCGTATATAAATTAATATGCCCCAGGGACCATGAAAATGAGTGTGTATGAAAGAAACCGATTTCATAACCACATAGGCGTGAGTAAGAGCCGCTGTGTGAATTGGAGGCATGTGCTTGGCAAAAAGAAAAAAACTGCAAACAGATTTCACCTGAGAGCATAAAATTACTTCTCTTTGACAGGCAATATAAATCACCTGGAACAGATATTGGTTACCTACTGTACTATTAGGAAACTTGCCTGGTAAAAGTCAGATTAAGGAATGTGTTTAAAATCTCTGTTTCCACTTAGTTTGGAAGGATGGAAGAACTTTTGCAACGAGTTCTTGTCTAGTTCGCCACAAGCGTCCTGATGGGAAAGGAAGATTAAGCCAGCAACAGGCTTATACAAATGGCACTTCAGGACATCTCCGGGGTCTCCCTCGATCAGCCACGAATTTGCCACGTTTATGAAGTATGCCCACATTTAGAAAAAACGAGAGGGGAGGCTGCTGCATGACCGCAGCAGGCATCAGGGCCTCTTAATTCAGTTCCACAAATTGTGCGGCTACTGTATGATGTCAGAATTTGACATCGTCAGAGAGATGGTGGGTTTTGTTCACACTGCTTCGTTGAGATTAACCTCTGGCCACAACTCAGTGCGACAGTACTCCTATATTGGACACTTGTGTCTTGGTGGCAGAGGGGAACCTGGAGTAATTAGATTCTATGTCATCTCAACTAGCAGTATGTTCTGACAGATCAACAGAGCAGACCAAAAAAACAGCCCCGCTGGATCAGACTGGTGGTCCATCTAGTCCAGCATCCTCTCTCATACAGTGCCAACCAGTTACTCTGGAGGGCTAACAACAGGACATAGAGACTGAGGTCTTCCCCTGAT